CCGATTCTCCAATCATGGCGGGGGGGCAGGGCAAAGGCGGCCCCCAGCTCCACCTTTGCTCTGCCCCCCGGCTATTAGCTCCCCCCTGAGTTTCCGATCACTGTCAGTGGCAGGGGGCTTCTTCCTGCTTTCCCTTTCATCTCCCTGCATTGTGCCTACATATGCAAATTAACCGCCATCTTTGTTGTCAGTTAACTGCCATCCGAGTTGGCAGTTAATTTGCATATAGCCCTGATTAGCCAAGGAAAAGGGTAGCGTCGTACACCAATTACCATTTTTCTCTTTTATTAGTGTAGATTATTGATAAACTTCTATGGCAGACATTTGTCTTACTTTTTTTCATTTTTGTTATGGTTTATGAGATAATTGTGTGTGTTTTCCCTCACTTAGGTAATGCAATTCCAATGAATCTCATCCAAATAAAAAAAAAAAAAACCAGAATGCATTTTACACCTTTCAGATACATCTTGAAATACACAATAAACCGATATTTGAGTACAGGAATTCTTAAAACATTTTTTAGCAAGCCAATATGTTCAAATTTAAAAGATGACCTATTTAAATAAAATTTTAATGTTCTTACCTTTCTGGATATGTAAGTGATTTTAACATGAGACGCCGGATGCTATATTGGCATGTGCAACATTGCTGATTAGAGTCCTGATAATATACCAAACCAATTCTTTTAATACGTACAACATCATTTAAAAACTGAGCAAGAATCTTGGCTTCTTGAAGTTTATAAAATGATTTATTCTTCCTAAACAGAAAATTTTATATACTCAGCGTATTAGTAATTTGAAATATAATTTCACTCTAAAATCAATATAATATTAACAATTCAGAATAGAAAAAGGCCAATTTTTTAGGAAAAGGCCAAACAATAAGTGTCTGTTAAAGTATTTATTAAAATAATTTATACAGTATTTTAAAACAAAATAATAATAACATTTACATCCCCATACACATTTGGAAATACTTTTTTGGGGTAAATTGGGAAATTTTATCTTTCTGACTAGATGGTTAGATTGTTCATTTGTCTGAAATTAGAGAAGTCATCTTATGCTTCTTTTTATTGACCCCTGAACAGCTATCATGGAGTGGATATTCAAATAATATTCCTTTGTTGTTCTCTGCCACTTTATAAAATATTTGTGAATAATTCTAAAAGCCTGATATTCAAAAAAAATAAATTTAGTATTTAATAAGTACAATTTCCTGAGCATTTATAATGTACCCAGGACATTAATCTAAAGGACACCTTCCCCAATACCTACCTCTCATTAAAAATAAAAATAAAAAATCATTAAATTTACAAATTTCCTCATCATTTTAAATTGCACCACTGCCTATTGCCCAAACCAGACAACTAGGGTTCATTTTTGATATTATCTTCTCTTTCAATCCCTCCATCAAATCTATCATAAATTCCTACTGACTTTACCTTTGAAATCTCTTGAATCTGCTTTGAATTCATCCTCATTTCTCCACCTCCACTACAAATCCTCTATCTCAAGACTGTTTCTTGCCCATATTTTTGTAACAGTACCCTGTCTTTCCTGCTTCCAATCCACGGAAGTCAAGCTGTTTTTACAAAATAAAAATCCAATCCTGACCCAACCAGATTGCCTCAGTTAAAACACATGAGTGATTTTCATTTTCCCAGTGAATAAAATATAAATCCTGAAACGTGTCCTACAAATCTAGTTCCTACAAAACATAGGTGTTCTCTCTCGACCTCTCTCCTTGCCTCCATTTGCAGACATAATGCACTTCCTTCAGCCCCTGAAATAGCCTATGATCCCTCCTGCTTCAAGATCTTTGTCTGTATCAGTCTCTGCCTGGAATACAGCAAAGCAGACTAACTCTAGTTCTTAACCAATAAATATAAAATACCCTTAAAGAAACTTTTAGTGGCCCCACTAAATAATCCTCATCCCCAATTTTATATTTCCTTACACATTATAATGTTCCTCAAGAACATTTTGAATGAATAGATTATATTTACATATTTTATTAATTATTTCATTATATTTATATTCTTCATTAGGCTGTAAGCTTAATGAAGGTAGGACTATATTTTTCTCATCACAGCACTAGAGGCCCAGTGCATGAAATTTGTGCATGCAGGGGAGTCCCACAGCTTGGCCTGCACCCTCTTGCAGTCCAGGAGCCCTCAGGGGGTGTCTGACTGATGGCTTAGGCTGGCTCCTCACCACTCCATTCACCAGCAGTGAGCTCAGCTTCTGGATGAGCAGCACTCCCCCTGTGGGAGCACACTGACCACCAGGGGGCAGCTCCTGCATTGAGCGTCTGCCCCCTCATGGTCAGTGTGCGTCATAGTCACTGGTTGTTCTGCTGTTGGGCCAAAACCGGCTCTCTGAGATCCCCTGAGGGGTTCCAGATTGCAAGAGGATGCAGGCTAGGCTGAGGGACCCCACTGGTGCACAATTGGGGCTGGGGAGGGACGCAGGAGGTTGGACAGCTGGGGAGGGACTGCAGGAGGGCTCCAGGGTGTGTCTGGCCCATCTCACTCAGTTCTGATCAGCCAAACTCCAAGAGCAAGCTAATGTACTGGCTGGAGCACCTGCCCCGTGGTGTTCAGTGCACGTCATAGCAAGTGGTTGAGCAGCCTTAGCATATTTTTAGCATATTACGCTTTGATTGGTTGAACAGCCAACTGAATGACCGGACACTTAGCATATTAGGCTTTTATTATGTAGGATCCTCAGCATTTAGCACAGTGCCTACATCCATGTGGATATTCATAAAAATCGTTTGAATAGAAAAATGATGAACATCATTTTATTTGTATTATATATTTGTAAAGTCTACCTGTTGTACTAGATAAGTTATGCAAAAAAATTCTAATTTACCCAAAATTTTACCCCCAATTTTTAGTGCAGTTTCTATCCTATAGAAGCTCTCAAGAATTTTTATTGGTTAAATTGACTCCTTTTCATACATCTCCTAGCTCAGTGAATGGCACCGTAATTTAAATAGTCATAAAGATTAAAACTTGAAGTCACTCTAGATTGGTTTATTTCCTTCACTTTCAGATGTTTAATCATAAAAATAGATCTATTTAAATCCTAAAAACCCATTTCTAATTACTGGGTTTATGCCCCCATCATATCAATTATTACAATAGTCACCTCTCTGATGTCATTCCACTCTAATTGCCCCATTACTCATCCAGCTGGGGTATTGTTCCAACCCGAATATCCATTATTACTATCCCCTGTTTAAAATCCTATATTGGCATAATAATATTTTTGGTACTATATTTAATGTATGTGATTTTTTAAAAATATATTTTTATTGATTTCAAAGAGAGGAAGGGAGAGGGAGAGAGAGAGAGAGAGACATCAATGATGAGAGAGAATCATTGATCAACTGCCTCCTGCATGCCCCTTACTAGAGATGTAGCCCACAATCCAGGCATATGCCCTGACCAGAAATCCAACCATGACTTCCCGGTTCATAGGTTGATGGTTAACCACTGAGCCACATTGGCTGGGCTAATGTATGTGATTATAATAACATAGAGAAGTGATCACACAATAACGCTTATATAAAAATCAGGATTCAGAACACATTTGCAATAAGATAGTAATTTTGCTAAATAAAAACGTGTGTGCACTGAAAGGGCGAGGGCTACGCCCTCCATCTTATCCCGGATCCTCCATATTTGGGCGGCAGCCTTAGCCATGTGCTCAGCAAGGGGCTTCTTCCCGGAAGCCCAAGCCTCTGCTAGCCACACCCAGGATTTCTTTAAACTAACCAATGACAATCAAGGGAAGTGTGCACCATAGATATGACCACATCCTGTGTAACAAGACACTGACTTGCGCCTGGCCAATCGGCAGGGCCCACAGTCCTCTCTCCTCTTCTTACTCCAACCCCCCTATAAAACCCCTCTCCACACAGAGTTCTCTCTCTCTCTGGCGCTTGCCTCTGTGTCGGTGAGTGTGGTCGGGGAGCTGAGCTAGCTCAAATAAAGATGCTTTGCTTTTGCATCGGACTCAGCTGGCTCCCTGGTGGGCTTTTGGGGATCCTGAAATCTGGGCATAACATGCACAAGGGTATGTATAAGAAGATATAAGAGGAAAAGGAGGAGGTAAAGAAGGAAAGGTGTAGAAATTGACTATACCAGTAAACCAAATGTAAATCTAAATATCCCTAGGCGATATAATTATAGATGATTCTAATTTGCTACTATATAATAGGACATGGCCTTTACAGCAGGACAATATTTCTATTTTAATTTTTAGAAATAAAAATTAAATTTTTAGAAATAAAAAATACTTCTATTTTTTATTTCTCAAAAGAGAAATAAAAGATCATGTAGAAGTCTCTTATTTTCCTGGCATCTAAAACAGTTTAAATCTCAAAGCATAACTAAATTTATTAGCAAATAATTGTTAATAAAAACATAAATTAATTGGCCAGGTTTAGATGGACAGATTTACCATGGGTAAGTGTTCCACATTTTATGTTCTGTTATTTTAAAATGCACAAATTCAAGTATCTGAATAAAACACATTAATATTTCATGGTGTTCTGCACAGAACATGATGTTTTAAAGGTAATCAAGACTCACAATTTATTTGACTTCTGAACAAGTGTGAAACAACTGCTCTAGGACTAGAGTCTGTGTGCTGTTATTGAAATTAGGAACATTCCTCTCTCCGTGCCTTTGAAAGCACCCTGCATAGAAAACCCACACTACTTGGATTAGCTTCCAAATTGGATGCTCAAAAAAACCAGACATTTAATTTATGAATAAAAATAATATTAAATTATACTTACTTATAGAGCCATGGTTCTTCAACCCTTCCAAACTGGTTTAATAATTTAAATGTAATATAGCCATCCATCGTTGTGTTATCTACAATTACACTGAGAACAAAATAATAGGCTACAAAACAAAAATACAAAATATAGTTCACATTTTTAAAATAAATTGTTTTGGCACATACATAGATACACATGTATATATATGTATATATATGTATATATATATATATGCACATAAGAACATATTATATATGTAAATAATGTCAAGAGGCACTTATTTGGTATATGGATAATATATTTTACTTCTTATAAATTTTTAACTAGTCATGAAAATAAGAAATTACAAAGCCTGTCAGACATCATGGGTATGGTGAAGAGGTGAACAAATAATTAGTGAATACTAACTCTTCTGCAAACCAAAAGTTTTCAGAATTTAGGTCAATTAAACTATTTTTAAAAATATATTACCTATAAAGTAAATATAGCATTCCCTAATTATCAAATTAATAGTCCTAGCTAAGCCTGCTTGACAAATATAATTCCCAATTTCACTGGTTGTTTAGGATTGACTATGAAATTAAATAATCATAGGTAGAGTAAGCTCATGGTAGTTAGTTCCTATTCAAAATGCTCCTTTTAAAAATTGATACAGTATATCTTTCAGAGGCAAGGATTCTGAACTTACCACTATAGTTTATAGTGACTGGGCTAAACAGAAAGTTCTGACTCTGAGTTTTCGCAAGTACTGAACAGCGTGCCCTAAAGACAATGTATAAACAAGACATGGAATGCATGAAATTTTCTTGTGAGAAATACATGCAATTTCTTGTCTGATACTTATTATTACCTCCAATAGGTGATGGATTTATAATTGGACCTCATCCATTTCTAACACAAGAGGAATGCTTCTTACTTTGAAGTGACTGCCCAACGTTAGACAAAATATTTTGGTCCACCTCACCCAAAAAAGTCAGGTGTTCAGACTTGCTCACGTGATTTCTGGCAGCATAACATATTGAGATATTACAGAAAGCCTTCTTTCAGCTAAAGCACATACTGATAGACATTTTGGATGTACAATCCATAGATTAAATTACAGCAAAGCTCAGATGAAGAAGAAGAATATTAGGAGGCACTTAAGAACTGGGTGTAGCTTGAAAACAGAGGCTTAAGTGTCACCTTCCATGCTGGAACAGAAGATGTGATGTTAAGTAACATGAAAAACATGCTCACCTGTCTGAAGTCAATTAAGGACTCAGAGACACAAAGGCAACGAAAGCAAAACATTTAATGGCGGTGATCGGGTGTCTGGTGGAGCAGGCACACCCTTTTGAGAAGTTACCACAAGCAATTTATCCCTAGTGCCCAAGAGTCTCTCTCCAGGTTCCTCAACTGCTGAGTACTATGGAGTTAACATCCCCCCCCCCCATGTCACCTAGGTCTTATTGTTTCCCATTGGGTTATTCAAAAAGTAGGCTGAGGACCTTTCTAGCTGTCTCCACCTCCCTGTGCTGGGAAGATCTTCCTGGAATAGGTGCTGTTGGTCACATACAAATTCCCTTGTTCTTATTACAGTTTGCCCTGGGACTTTATCTGTGTAAGCCTTGTGGTTCAGTAACTGGCTGGTTGCCGGGGTTTATGTTCCAGTATCAAGAAGGGTTCAGGAATCTGGAAAAGAGGCTACGCGTAGATGACATAGGAATCCAGAGACCAATAAAGAGTCCGGAGACGAGATATAATTTTGAAACGCATTGAGGGTCAGAGGTCCTTCAGCTAAAGGAACTGAAGAGCCCTTCCTTGTCTAGGACCCTTGCTTTTATTAACACAATTTGTCCTAAGGCAAGGTGGTGATAATACACTTCAATGGGTAAGGTTTCAAAGGGTACAGAGTCCATTGTCAGAACCGGGGGAATAGCCTAAGGCTGTTCAGGTGTTTGGCCAGTAGGAGGCAATAACATGTAAATTAAGATGCCCTTTAACTGTCTGGCAGCCACAATCAGTTTCCTATTCAGGTTTGGGGAAATGCCTTTAGCCACTTCCAACAGGTGACTACATGTGTGACTCAACCCTGTTGAGTCCCCAAGTTTCATCAACCTTTTGATGAAACTCTTGAAATTATGACATGCTGGAATTGTTCTACGGCAGCTGGTAAGCATGCTGCTAGTATATTTCCACTGAAAGCTAACTAAAGATGGACCACAGAAGCTTATTTTCTACAAGTAATAAGGCTAAAATAAAAATCCCTGCACAGTATTTTATATTAGGGTCTGAGGTTAAGTAAAAAAAGACACAATTATCTGAAACTAAAGAAAACACGGCATAATATGGAATTTACATTCACCACTTGGTGAGACCCCTCTCCCCAATCTGTATCAAAAATGCTCCAGGATTATGGAATGTAAATTTTGGGTGGAAAAATCCAACTTTTATGGGAGAGATTTTGAAGAAGAGCTGACTGTTAAGAATTTTCTGTAATAGAAGAAGATATGGATTTTTATTTTGATAGTATAAATATTTTTCTTTCCTTTTGATAGAGACTGCAACTGATCCGTAAGACTAGAAAATTATAATAAATCATGTCTAGATGAATAGATAGGTAAATATAACCAAAAGAAAAACCACAGGTTTCTGTATAGAACAACTGCATTGACAATAAATTTAAAAATAAATAAATTTATCTGAAAAAAAATTAATATCTTCAAAGTGCTGAGCAAAAATAACTTTCAATGTAGAATTCTATCCTGAACTAACTATATTGCAGAAAAAGAGAAAGATAAGATCATTTCAAGAAAACACAAAACAAAAACTGAGAGGGACTGCTAGTGAAAAGTCATTAAGGATCTATTTCAGCAAGATAGAAGTTAGACCCAGAAGAAAAAAGTGGGGAAAACAGGGTAAGATAAAGCGTAAAAAAATGAAATGATTAAATATAAGTGAGCATTTGATATAGTAATAATATTCATAATAAATATTGATTGTTAGATAAGAAGTGAAATAAAATAATACAGAATATAATATAGAAGATAGAAAAGACCACACAAAATTCAAAAGCTCTATGAGGCAAATTCTTGTGACAGAATCTAATAAATAGTTTTTGAGGCAAGATGCATTCTTATACGTAAAGCAAAAAAGAAAAAAGAAGAAAGTTGCCAGGGAAATATAACAATCCTGAACCTTTATACATCTAAAGAATTACATCATCAGAATACATAAGCAAAAACTTAAACAATGTGACTGCCTGCTAAAAAAGAAGTTTAAATATAACTCAAAATCCTAACATAATAGACAAAATTTCCAGGATGTGATTGAAAATTATCCATTATACTTAGAACAAAGACAATCACATCGTTGGTGGGAAAGACAATCAACTATTGCTAGCACTGAGATGACTCAGATGTCAGGATTATCTGACAAGAATTTTAAGGAAGCCATCATAAAAATACTTCAAAGTCAGAGTCTTTTAAAAAATAAAAGAATAGAAATTTCTCAGCAAATAAATAGAAGCTATAAAAGAAAACAACGTAGAAATTACATAAATAAAAAATATAACAACATAAAAAAGTCACTGGATATGCTCATTAGTAGAGTGGAGATGACACAGGATAGAAATCAGTGAACTCGAACACAGGTAAATCTGCCACTCATTCTGTACCACAGAGAAAAACAGACTAAGAAAAAAAACTGAAGAGTCACAGGGACTTGTGGAACCATAACAAAGAGGTAATATGTGTGTTAGTGTAAGAGGATGGAAAAGAGAGTGGAACTAAAACAATATTCAAAGAAATAATATCTGAAAACTTTCTAAATTTGGTAAAGAAAAAAACCCCACACAGATTCAAGAAGCTGAGTAAAACTGAATAAACCTAAAGAAATCCTTACCAAGATATATCATAATTAAAGTTTAGAAAATTACAAATAAAGAATAAAATCTTGAAAGTAGCCAAGGAGAAAAGATGAATTACCTACAGGAGAACACCAATTTGAGTCGCAAAAGATTCCTTACCTGAAACCCCAGAGGCCAAAAGGAAGCAGCACAATATTTTTCAAGTGCTAAAACAAAGAATATTTTATATCCAGCAAAACTATCCTTTGAGAACAAAGAAGAACTAAAGACAATCTTAAAGAAAAACTAAAAGAATTTCTCATTACCAGACCCATTCTTAATTATCATAAGAGTGAATTTCTTCAAACATAAATTAATTGGTAAAATAAATACTCTTAGAACATAAGAAACAAAAAGGGAACAATGGAAAGATAAGATATATGTGTACATACAATAGATTATTCCTTTTATCATGAGTTTTATAAATCTCATTTGATGATTACAACAAAAATTATCATACAACCTAATATTAAGACAATGATATTTAAAAGTGAAGAATGTAAAGGTACCTAAATGGAAGTGAGGTTCCCACATTTCACTAAAGTGGTAAAATGCTGATAACAGTAGATTGAAAAATCACATATGCATATTTTAATTGTGGTATACATCCCCGAATATGTCATTCCTAATCTCTGGAACTTTTCAATATATTACTTTACTAGTAAGTGACAAAGGATAATTAAGATAGCGAATGTAATTTATGTTGTTAAACAACTGGCATTAAAATAGAAAGATTACCCTAAACTATCCAAGTGGGTCCAATGTAATCACAAGAATTGCAATCACAAGACCTTAAAAGCAGAAAAGGAAGACAAAATAAGAGAATCTAAAAATAAATGTGATACAGAATAGTCAAAGTGAAACAGTGTGAAGAATCAATCCAATATTTTAGGAGACCACAAACCAAGGAATACAGACAGCCTTTAGAACATTGGTTCTCAATCTGTGGTTCACAACCCCTTTGGGGGTTGAACGACCCTTTCACAGGGGTGGCCTAAGACCATTGGAAAACACATATATAATTACATATTGCTTTTGTGATTAATCACTATGCTTTAATTATGTTCAATTTGTAACAATGAAAATATATTCTGCATATCAGATATTTACATTATGATTCATAACAGTAGCAAAATTACAGTTATGAAGTAGCAATGAAAATAATTTTATGGTTGGGGGTCACCACAACATGAGGAACTTTATTAAAGGGTTGTGGCATTAGGAAGGTTGAGAACCAC